AGTTTTCGAGATTTCGTTCAGCCACCCCAAAGCGCGATCAAACGTCGACTCCGAAATCGCGCAGTTGAGTAACTAAAGCAAAAATCTGGCTAGTGTGCCTACACGACTCGAAACCAATCATATTCATTGTCTTTCGATACCTTGCTTATTTAAAGGCAAACAAGTCCCAAAGATCTACTGAGTGTTTCACACGACAGGTACAACAAATTTGAAAAATTAAATACAGTTTTCCCGAATACGTTGAAGGAATACAAATTTTAAACATATTTGCATTGTATAGCACCTTTATTACTTGCGGCATAGCAATATACTGTAAACATTTGTAATAATAAACTTTTTTTCAGCTCAGAACATTGTTAAAAATCTATTGCGAGTTGGAGAACTGGATCAACACTCTAGTCAAACGAGCCACAGTGCAAAAAACTGCTCGTAAATCCTTTAAAATTATAATAGAACCAGTAGAGAGCGGGGCTCAGTAAAGCATGTTTACCAAACCAGTGTCATCTCCAGGATGTATCTAGTATTATAAGGCTCAATAAATCAAAGCGAGAATGATACATGTGCTGAAATGGAGAAAAATCGACCAACACGACGCGCTTTCCCCCAAGTATCCGTAGATAGTCCTGGCAATGCCCGTTTGTTACGAGAATTTTGTCATATACGACGGTCTTATCCAAAATAGAGTTATGGAAAAAATAACTTCTCGGCAATATTTGATCTTGGTTAGTAGTAAAATATTATGTGACAGGATGACTAGATTTTAATATTTACTTTTTCGTGTCAAAAATTGCAACCATTTATAGTTAAATATGATTATCGGAGACTTCGTCTAACCATGTACAAAACGTTTGGTGATGATTTAACTGTTCTATAAATTAAACTACCTCTGCAGCTGTTTTTGACAGAACGATGTTCTACCGTAAAACGCAGACACTACTGCGGTAATGTTTAGAATGAATTTATCTGCTGTCTGGAATAGCATATTAAACAAGGGAACCATATTTTTAAATAAAGGAAAGGAAATTACTTTAAAATATAATAAAGAGACGCACACACCCATCCTGATCTGTTACTATAAGCAACATGTTTAGGCTATTAGAATAGATGTATGTTTAAAAAATGTTTAACGATAATGGCATTACTGTGGAAAAGGAACAGAAATATATCAACATCAACCCCTATCATATTAAAAAATTTTTAAGGGCGCCAAATTTAAATATTTTAATTTTTGAGGTACCTTAAAGGAGGCTAGTAAAAAATTGCTACAACTTTTCATTTACCTAAGACTAAGGCATTAATTATTTAAAAAGATAGATAATAATTTTCAGTCTTTTACTAAAAATTATTCGACTTTATGGAAACCATATATTTAGCTGTTTTTTGAGATATATACATTTAAAGATTTCAATAGCAAACTACTTTTTAACTTATGCAATTTTGATTAAGTATGCTGCGAAAGGAATGAAATAAATACATCTTCTAGTAGTATAGTAATTTGGATAAAAATTATGTTGACCACAATGTTCTCTGATCGGAAAACTCTTAATTTCCATCTCTAGGGACCACATTAAATCCTAAATATTTAATTTTCAGCATGATTACCATTTACAAATAAATTATTTGCAACAATTCAACTTGAGATCAATAATATCTTCATAATATCTTCCTTGACTTGATGTGAACTCAAAAGGATTCAGATCGGAAGAATATGGTGGCCAACGCACGTCACTTCCTCTACCTATCCCATAATTTAGAACACGTGTGCATATCGTTAAGAACATTTGACAATGTAAAAAAAGTTGTTCCGAGGCATATTAACACAAATTAATTGTAAAACCACAATTACTTGAGATAAACTGGCAGATTGTATTTCCTTAATTATGTTATAGTCCATAAGCTACCTGCCCAAATTGATTGATATTTATTTTCTTCATATTAATAAAAAATGTAATTAGGTACCTATGTACTGAATTTTTTAAATCACGAGGTATGATAATTTTTAATAAGTCCTAATACTTTTTAAACTAATATGTCTTTGTGGTTGGTGAAATAAAGTTATACGCATTTTTTTACAGGAATAAGATAGTTAGAAAGTGGTATTTAAATTTGAAACTCATAAAGATTCTTTTATACAAAATTTTTATTAATTTTATTACTTTAGCACTCCGTATCTCTGTCAATATCAATATTTGAACTAACCCATTTTTGGCTAAATCTTAATATTTTAATGTCTACAACCTTTTCTTGCTTTTTGAGGATAAAATACCCCATATACAGGGTGTTCTTGAAATGCATATACCAGCAAGTCACTATAGATTCCTTTTATTAAAATAAAACTATGTATACAGTCCGTACGATATTTGTTGGGATATAATTCCAAGAAGAGCCCTGCGGCACTTTCGTGGAATTAACCGCATTCGAAACCAGAAGTAGAAAGACATTGGCGGCGTGAAGGACGTAACAGCTTGTGTTTCTTCATAAGTGTATCGTCCTGTGCATTTTCAGTGGAATTTTTTATTAAAATAAATCAATGGAGGTAAAAAATAAAAGAAATGTGAAGATAAGGTTTCGAAAATTTATCAGATTGGGGGCTGTAGTAGGTTGCTTAAATACATGTTTCTTTGTTTAAGTATTCCTCTTTTTTTGTATCTGCCTGTTTAAAATTGTATTATCTTATACTCTACTGTACTGTAAAAGAAATAAAAACACATTTTAATCCAAAAATCTACTTTATGTATATTTACCTTTGTATATATTTTAATATCCTGAAAATAACGCGGAAAATTCAAAGGCATCCCTTTGCCTCGGTAAATTGTTACAATAGTTCCGTTAATAGAATTTTATTGGCTTACTCTTTTCTTGGGATTTTATCTCAACAAATACTGTACGGGCTGTACCAATGTACCACTACATACAAAGGCAATGCATATACAGGGTGTCCCTGAAAAGGATGAACAACGCTTGACCACAGGTTCCTTGGATAAAAACAAGCCTATTTAGCCTAACTTACCTATATACAAAAGTGCACGCCTACTGAGATATAGCCTTCTAAATATAGAATAGATAACCTATTTTTTTCAAATAATTTGAAAACTGTTTTTCTTAGAAACTTAAAATTTGGTACACTTATTTTTTTATATAAGGGCAAGGTAAATATAGAATTTGGAGAGAATACATATACAGGATGTTCTATTTCTAGTGCCTGTGTGCCACTGACTATTCCGTAACATTTTTGTGTGTATGCCAATGACGACAGAATTTATATTTTTAAAAATAAGCACTATTTTAGAAGATTTATTTGCTCTTACAAAATTTAGATATCGTTTATGGATTTCGAGTAAAATTCGCATATTTTATACATTAAATGTAGACAAAAATTTATAACTGCAGCCTCAAAGCAGGGAATAATAATGAAAACACATCACATTAAAAAAAAATAACTACACTTTTTGGTATTATTATTATTATCATCAATCAATAAAATAAAAGTCAACACTAATATTTTAAATAAACAATATCAACTTATAATAATATTACAGTAAATGCTCAAAGTTACTTTCTTGTTCTTAAACGCAATCATTAGTTCTTCGAAAATTAGAAATTATCCAATAATTGTGCATTACCTCTCATAATATTAATTTCATGTTGTATTCTTTCCCATATTCGTTTTCTGTATTTACTGAAAATTTATTTTAAACTGGTGTCCTCAACGCTCCCCAAATGAAATAATTACATGGGTTTAGGTCCGGGGATCGAGCTGGCCATTTTAAAGGGGCATTATTTCCTCTACCTATCCACCTGTTAGACCTTTAATAACCTGTAATACCTACCTGTACCCTGTAATACCTATAACCTGTAATAACTGGTCTTTTAATACTCTATTAGAGGAACTTTTTGAAAGCCAACATCTGCCGCTAAACGACTTTTATTTATTTCGACCCTTTCCAAAATTTGTTCCTCCAGCTGAATAATTCCGGTCGTACATTATCCACGATTTCCAGGTTCTTCGATTAGGAAATCTTTCAGCATATGTTCGAACAGTAGCACAACAATTTTCTTCACAATAACCCAAAACTACTAACATATCAGTTTGTTCAGCAAAAGTATAAATGGCAATAAAAAACAAAGTAAGCTAAAATTAAATCACAGCTAGCTTGATACATAACCTTTTAATTATTGTTATGAATTTGTTTCTCTGTTATATATGGCACCTCGTACTAGAATGTTCTATTTATCTTAAACTGATTTTATATTATTTAATGTGTAAAAAATGCCAATTTTACTCGAAATCCATAAATGATATCAAAATTTTGTAAGAGGCAAAAAATCTTCTAAAATAGTGCTTATTTTTAAAAATATTAATTCTGTCGTCATTGGCGTACATACAAAAAAGTTACGGGATAGCCAGTGGCGCACCGGCACTAGAAAGAGTACATCCTGTATATGTATTCTCACCAAATTCTATATTTACATTGCCCTTATATAAAAAATATGAGTACCAAATTTGAAATTTCTAAGAAAAACAGTTTTCAAATTATTTGAAAAAAACTAGGTTATCTATTCTATATTTAGAAGGCTATATCTCAGTAGGCGTGCACTTTTGTATATAGGTAAGTTAGGCTAAATAGTCTTGTTTTCATCCAAGGAACCTGTGGTCAAGCGTTGTCCATCCTTTTCAGGGACACCCTGTATATGTAGTCTCTCTAGGTGAAACCTAAGTTCACCAGAAATACGGACATTTTTTGCTAGAAATACGGCGACCTTAATCTGTGTGTCCTATTCTTAACGAAACGCTCTACGGATTGAAGGATAATAAATCAATCACACCAGGCAGCAAAACAGCAGTCCATTCAAAAAATAATTAATTACTTTAGCCGAGAGGTACAACAACGTTGTAATTACATTTCTCACCTTCCAGTCTCTCCTTTCTTCCACACGATTTGCCCCATTTTTCTCCGCGACTTCTTTCAAATCCCCGCTGAACACGATTTTGTTTTCAGGGCGAGCAACGTCTCAGGTGAGCGATCCCCCTTCGAGGGTTCGTGTTGCGGCTCGGGCTATCACACCGTGGATTCGACACCGCTGGGATCCCCCGAGGAGATAGAGGTGCCCAAGTACAGGGTGGTGATGCTCGGCGACGCCGGCGTCGGCAAGACCGCTCTGGTGTCGCAATTCATGACGTCAGAGTACATGAATACCTATGACGCCAGTCTCGGTAAGGCCATTTACGGCGAAATTAGAACAATATAACTTCAATCCCCCTAACCCTACTAGCACCGACATTATTTTGTTACTTTCCTGACCGTTAAACCAATATCATTTTTTCCCTTTTCTAGGACATCGGTCAATAAAATAGTAATATATTTTTTGTAATTATCACGTACGTTTCGATCATGCAACCATCTTCAGATAATATTGTCAAAATGATTTATTAATAACTAAAAGTCACATTTAAAAAAAATACTTTTTTGAAAATATTATAAATATTAATAGGTAGTTTTTGTTTAAATAATAATTTCTTACATATTACTTAAATGTATTGATAAAGACACATTAACACACAATATATCCTACATATTTAAAAAAAAATCCAATTTAAAAACTTTTTAGTATTAAATCATTGTTGAATTGTTGAATATATTTAATACATCTTTCAATAGCGAGACAAGAATGAATTTTCAGTTCTATTATTATTGGGTTTCAACAACTATTGCAAGATTTTAAATAGTATTTTTTAATGGTAAATTTTCAGCTCCGTAAAAAGATAAAAAGATGAAAAAATGAATGGAAGAACGAAAAAATTATTAAGAATTTTCAATCCCCTGCGAGGGAAAATATCATAAGATGAAGTAATATCCCAAGTTGAATTCTATGATTCTTCGTACGCGGGAGCCAATTGCTCCATCTGTCGTGCGGACTCCCAACTGTGCCATTCAAATGACTACAGTAGGAAGCGACCTGCTAACTGCAGGTACTTGGTTGCACGACTGCCACCCACAGAGGGCGTAACACAATGTTTGACTTGTCAGTGCTGCGAGAAACAACTACTCCGAGAGCTATTTGCCCCTACCGGCATTGAATTATGCTAGCAACACCTAGTGTTTGTCGGTTGTCGCACCTATGACACACTGATGAGGAGTAATAAGTCCGAAACTGGTCTATGCCTGGTGGGTAAACTGATGACAAACGATCCTAGCTGTTGCACTAGGTGTTGCGAGTATAATTCAATGCCGGTAGGGGCAAATAGCTCTCGGAGTAGTTGTTTCTCGCAGCACTAACAAGTCAATCTATGATTCTTCAACTAGAAATACATAGTATTACATAGTAAATAAATAAAATAAAACGTGATTTCAACTTAAATGTAATTCTGATAGCGGACGTTTTTGGAAATAAATTTATGAGGTTTGTTCAGAAAAGAACCAAATTTTTTTAATTACGCTCTAATGGAAATATTTAGTGATATGTTGGCAGCATTGCGTTGCACCAGTGGGGTAGCAAAGGCTCTCTGGGCCCGTGCGCAAAGTATATAAGAGACTCCTCTCTTCCAGAAATTCCAAAAATAAAATAAATTAAAAATAATGTGTGTACTGTAATAACTTTATTTCGATGAAAATAAAAAACAATAAAAGTAAATAAAAACCACACAAATAATAGTAAAACGCCATTCTATCACAAACAAAAATAAAACACCCTATCACAGTGAATATCAAAAATCAAACTTTTAAAGACAAAAGCAAAAGTAAGACACGCAAAATAACCAAATGTTATGTTTGCGTTAGTCAGTTTAATATTTAGAACGAGAAAATACAGATTTGACCATGATTTGACATTCTATCAGTTGTGGCAATGGACCTTTTTAGTAGTGACGTCACATACGTCAAATAATAGGTAACCGATAGTGCACATTGTCAAGAATAATTTCTCAATATTTTCACTAGATCGATTTTCGACCTTATGTATTTTGGACATAAGTGTCAAAAAAATGACTTCTTTGTCATGACCTTAAATCAGGAGTCAGCAAGTAATTTTAGGTGGGGTCCAGAAACTTTTGAAAATTTTCAACGAGGTTTAAAAAAAAATCATATTTCTTACTAATTTTTTATTTTAATTAGGACACAAATTTAATCTGCTTACTAACCATTAAGAACTCATATCAGTCACACAATTGTAAAGTACTAAAAAAAATGATAAGGGTGGCACTCAAACGTAAAAAAATATTTTTGAAATATTCTATTTAAGTAATTTATACTTCCAGTATTTTACCTGCCACGGTCCGGACCTGGACCGCGGTCCGCCAGTTGCCGACCACTGCCTTAAATATTGCGATATTCTGGCAACATTAGAAATATTTAAGAAGTTCAAACGCCAAATGACAAACTAATACAATTATAGAATTTATATATTTAGATTTTAGAACAATATTTATAGTCATTAATAAATTCAAATTATATCAATGTTACTGAGCATTCGCATTAAAGATACAACGTCAAGAACAACAATATAAATAATTAGTAGAACTAAAAAATTCCAAGATTAAACAAAACAAGAGAAAATACGCTAATGATGACAGCGATGACATATCAACAATATCTCACCTGTGTGTGAGACTATTCTTTCCGAGCATGAACATTAGGAATAACACGGCTAATGTTAAATTTTTACTTTATTTAAATTTAGGAATATCCTTTTATATCGTTTTTTTGTACGTTTTAAGCACATTACTGTATTTATTTTACGAAGCACGTGTTGGTTGTTCTTAAATCCCCTAAATCCTTGTAAAAATAAATTAATTTGAAGTTGGTAATTTTTATAGTATCTATGTAAATAGTACACAACCATGACAATTTGTTACGGGTTGCCAAGATATGTGACGTTACACTAAAAGAGTCTATTCATCATTTCTCTAGGAAATTGAATAATCAAAGTTCAGTCAATAATTATTATGTGCGTTTTGTTTTATATTTTCTTATCCTGTTTTTTAAACGTTTAAATACACTTTTAGATGACGAGTTTGGAGAAAGAACAGTATCCGTATTACTGGATGGAGAAGAATCGGAAATGATTTTCATTGACCATCCTTCGTCAGAGATGTCGGTAAGTATGTTAAATAAAATCTCACACAGTTCTGCTGTAATATTTGTTATATTAATAACATTCTGTCAAAGACAAAGGGATGGTAACAGGTGTTAAAACGGATTAACTTCAATGTCACTTGTTGGATCTTATTTACTTACCTGCCTCAAAATTTAATTTCACAGAAACGAATTTTTTTTATTTAATTATATGTTTATCCTCTTTTTAACTCATTTGTCGGGTGTCTTGTAACTCTGGGGATTGACCGTCTTTTAGAACAAGGTAAAAAAAAGCTTCAAAGGAGTAATACCAGACCTTCGTAATAAAATTACTTAACTTTATACACAGGCTTTAATTTAACCATCATTTTGTATTTTTTATGGAACTAGGTATAAGTATGAGTGATATTTTAGGCTACATTTTTTAATACATTTCGAATTCTATATCTTTTGTGGGTGTATTTTGGAACGACAAATATAATTTCTTATGTAAAATTATTATATAAATAATTTCTTGTAAAAATTGTACATGGGCGAAACTACTTTGGTACATTTTTTGGTAAATTAAGCAAAACTTTTCAATATTGAAAAAAATCGGAACGCTAATCTCAATGGTTACTGTAATATAGCCAGTGGAAACAAAGCACAAACGAATATTATTTTATTAATTTTAATAACCAATATTTGATTACAAAATAGCGTTTTGATTGTTAGAGATTAAAGGTATGGTTCAAAAGTTCTATCGCCAAACTCCGCACACTTCGCGTTCTAATGAAAATATTGCGTATTGTGCTGTGCAGTTTTTCCGGGCGTCGCACAGTGGGAAATATTGGACAAAATTCTCGCCACTCGCCAATTTTCATCGTCTCGTGGTTTTTTTTTATTTAATAATCTCGTCGTAATCTGAATTTTCATATTCCGGTGAGGTTTTTTCGAAAAACCCGTTTTTTTATGCTTAGGGAGCGCCCCAACCTCAATGTCGAAAAAAATTTTTTAAATACTCGATATTCAGTTGTAGAAAAAAGTGTTTAAAAAGTATCTGCTATTAATAAAATTGATTATTATGAAACTTGATGTTTTTTCTTCAAAAACCTAACCTCAAAATATATCATCAAGTGTCATAATAATCAATTTTATTAATAGCAGATACTTTTTAAACATTTTTTTCTACAACTGATCATCGAGTATTTAAAAATTTTTTCTTCGACATTGAGGTTGGGGCGCTCCCTAAGCATTAAAAAAAAAGAAAGGGTTTTTCGAAAAAACCTCACCGGAATATGAAAATTCAGATTACCACGAGATTATTCAAAAAAATCACGACGAGACGATGAAAATTGGCGAGTGGCGAGAATTTTGTCCAATATTTCGATCAACTCATCACGCGTATTTACCTACATTTTTTTTATATACATCACTTTTCATCCATTTCCATAGTCCATAATCTAATGGAGTGAGGTCTGAAGACCTAGCTGGCCAATTGATGGGACTGGTCTCCAAAAGTTTGTCGCCACCTGACGACTGTAATGAGCACCATCATGTTGGAAAATCATACTGGTGATTTAACAATATTGGAAGTTCATTCCGCAAAAACTGTAAATAACTTGCCGCTGTTAAACATTCGGGTAATACAAAGTGCCCAATCAATTTATTGTAAATGTGTGGCATTTCAAATAAATTTCTCGCATACATCAATGCTAAATGTTAATTATTTGGTAGGAGCGTACTCGATAATTTATCTGCTTTGCACACGACGCAATTGACGTTAAAATTGCTGTATCTTAATAACCATTGAGATTTGAACACATATGCATTATTAACTTTTTTATTTAAAATGAACGATACTATTACATATCGAAGTATTGACTATTCCTCCTGAAACACCCGGTATAGTTTATAATAATTAGAAATTTAGTAATGACAGTATTGGTATAGTCCTTTCGAAGTCAGTTGTACATGCAAAAAAAACGTCTGGTAATAAAATTTAATGAGTTTCATAGGCGTCCCTAAAAAAAAATTTTGCTAAAGGTAAAAAATTATAATAATTTGTATATAATCTGTAGAAAATTTCTATTACCTATATGTTCATTTGGCCAACAACATATTTTAATTATCTATATCCTCAAACAATTTTATTATATTGGTGGTACATTTTGTTTTGTTCCGTTTCAAAAGGTCTCCAAAATGCCAT